TAAAATGACCTCTGCTTGAAGTCACCATAGAGGATTCTGCTGGGGAAACCCTTTCTGCAGATCCTGATACCTTCCAGCACACCGTTACACCTCAGCTGATAGATAACCAGGTAGTTCTCCATTAGACCTAAAAGAAAAATTAAATTAAATGAATTATACATAAAATTAGAATGAAACTAGTGAAACTCTTTTAATATTGTAGCACATGGTGCTAGGGTTTTTGGTAAGCTTGATCTGCCCCCCTTCCTATCATTCCATGAGGTAACCACCCACCTGAGAAGTGTCTAGCCATTGGCTTATTGTGAGGTGTGATAGGTGTGGGGAACTCAGCCAGCAGAAAAGGGTAGTGGTGTGAACACCCAATTGTCTTTTTAAATACCCTCTCCCCAGAGGCTCTACAGTGCCATATCCAGCTCACAGCACCTCCCACCCTGTAACTGGCACTAGCAGAAGCGGAGTGGGTGGAAGTGATTCCTGCACTTTGTGAGGCCCCCACCAGCACTCAAGCTTGCTGGACCATTTACTCTGAGGGTCAGGAAGAGGAGTAAGCAGCTGTCTGCCTGATTGTCGATGGCCGGCCACAACGACGATATATAACCTGCTGGTGAGGTCAGAAAAAGGACCAGAAGGCACAAGACTGCCATGAACCCCTCCCAGAGCTGCCAAGAAGCAACAACAGGGTGGTGCAGCCAGGGGATTGCCGCCCAAGCACCCTGTTACCCCTCAATTACCCAAGGTCTACCCAGTGGGCTGTCTTGGTGATCTAAGGAGTGCACGCCTACCCTGGACCAACACTGCAGGCCGTAATTGACACTAGCTCCACTGTCTCTCTTGTCTGACTGGGATTGCTGCCAGGGACTGACTACGGGCTCCCTGCAGGTTGGACACCAACAATAGCTTGCCTCAGGTCTGTGATGGGGGAAGAGGCCCAGATGCTGGTATGGCGGTGCTTGAGGGTACACATGGGACACAACCTAAATCATCATGAATTCTTGCTGACCACCATCCAGGATGCATGCATCATCGGGATGGACCTCTTCAGTGCCCATAGGGCCATCCTGGACCTGAACCAGGGACAACCGTGAGTAAAAGACTCAACAGTCCCACTCACCAATACCGGATGACCAGAGGAGAACGTGCACCTAGCCACAGCTTCACTGCCAGCTCAGCCCCCCTCAGGAGCCAGTATCACCTGCAGAGGGGCCCAAGCAACATCATGGAGCAGGTGGTGAAAGCAGGACAGTATCCTACCCCCTTAGGGGTCTGCCATGCCCAGCACCAAACAGGAGGGGCAGTGGACTCTGTACGCACCACAAACCATGCAAGGGTTGAGGACTAAGGGAACCCTGATAACAGTAAAGGTCTGACTAAAATGACTATTGAGGCCCTCTGGAAGAGTTGCAAGGGGCTGGGGCATAGAGAGAGGGAAAGACTGTGGGACCTACTCCAGAGCCCTACGGACGTCTTCAATACCAAGGATGAAGACTGTACCCAGACTGACCATTTCCAAGATCAAATAGACACCAATAAGACCACTCTCATCTGCCTGCAGCCCCATCATCTGCCACTGGCGAAGAGGTAAGCAGCCAAGGAGAAGGTCTGAGATTTGGCAGCAGCAAGAATCATAGAGCTATCCGAAAGCCTAAGGGCTGCTACTTCTGTCCTGGTCTGGAAGATGGATGGTAGCTGGCAGTTCTGTTTGGACTACCGCCATCCAAATGCTATCATCCAGGCAGACCCATACCCTTTGCTTCAGATCGATGATGCCCTCGACACACTTACAGTTTCTAGCTGGTATTAGCTCTTTGGATCTCAGGAGTGGGTACTGGCAGGTAGCCTTATCAGCTAATGCAAAGGAAAAGACAGTGTTCACCCTGGGCCAGGGGTTGTGGTACTTTACCGTGATGCCTTTTGGGCTATGCAATGCCCCAGCTATCTTTGAGCGTCTCATGGAGTATGGCTGCACAATGCCACTCGCAAGGAAAAGTTGTGCCCCAAGCTGGTGGAGCAATGGATGAGACCCTGTGTGGCAATGACACATCTGTCTGCACAAGGGTTAGACAGGACCTGGGCGTCAAACTGTAGTAGTCCACAGGGATCGGCTGGCACCATACAGACCCCGGCAGACTCCACCTGCCGTCATGTCGACGCCCCAACCTGCAGCCACCCTTTCATCAGAGCCAACTCCAGGAGTCCCATTGGCTGCAGGGACTGTCAGTGGGACCATGCACCCCCATTGAGAAAGGCTCATCCTGACATGTCTCCAGGACTGTGTGCTCTGAGCTCAGGTTGGGACTAAGGCAAAGTGGATCCTGCCTGGGGGACCTGATAGATTGCCCCCTTCCCATCATTCAGTGTGGTAAACACCCACCTGAGAAGTGTCCAGTCATGAGCTGACTATGTGGTGTGAAAGGTTTGAGGGGCTCAGTTTATGACTGAGCTGGTAGAAAAAGGTAGAGGTTGTGAACACCTAATTATCTTTTTAAAGACACTTAAAAAATGGATAGGATTTATATAGCGCATTTTTGCTACTCTTTCGAGCACTCAAACCACTTTACAGTTATGCCTCACATTCACCCATTCATATACGCATTCACACACCGGTGGCAGAGGCTGCCATGCAAGGTACCAACCAGCTCACCAACAGCAATTTGGGGGTCAGTGTCTTGCTCAAGGACACTTCCATGAGGTCAGGAGGACCCAGGGCTCAAACCTGCAACCCTCCGGTTGCCGAACGGTAGCACTACCTCCTGCACCACCATCGCCCCTTTTAATGTCTTTCCACCCATACCATGTCTGTACTGTACCTCTATCTGTTCCACTACTTGCCTCTCCCACTCACTTGCAACACTACAATATTGATGTTTATGCATTTGATATAATGTGCAGTGCTGGTCAAACCTGGTGTCTTTGATTCGTTAGGAATCAGGCAGCGCACAAAGTGAGGGTGAGTGCTTCTCAGGTTGGTCATCAGCTTGCCCAGGTTCTCCTGTAGGATGAATGGATATCTATTTTTGAAAAAACTTAGACAGTCAGATAGTTCCTAGTTGTCACTTATTATTTGAAACACATAATATCAATATGGTCATTTTATTGATTTATGAAAATATGGAAGAAAAAAAAAATATATATATATATATATATTAACCTGTCTTGAAGTGAATTAATTTACAATTTTATATTTGTCTGTCTAATTCTCCCATATTATAAATTTTAAACTGTTGTGACCATATTTTAAACATGAACATACCCTGAACAGAGCAGACACTGTCTGGAAGGAGCCACCCTTCTTCTTGCCCTTCTTGCCACCACCACTCTCTGCTCACAGAGAAAATAGTCAAGTATAAATATTGATGTTAAATATGTCTATGTGCCCTACTTTACACCTGACGAAAAGTGGTGCTGGGCGCAATGCAGGTGTCTTTGCTAGCATGAGCCCAACGCAGTTGTCATTTTCCCATCCAGTGTTGCCCGTCCAAGCGCCCATGGGCATGTCAGTAGCAGAAAGTGGTTGTGCTATCCATAGTTTTCACGTGATGTCATATTCTTATAGGACCGCCCACCTGGAGGACAACACAAGGCTTTATTCCTTGCTCACCACTAATTTTTACCATGTCTGTTTAGCCGAAATGTCAGATAGTTCTTGTTCAACTGGATGCAGTTACTGACGAGGTGGGTTGGCATGTGTGTATGGTGGCTGGTGTAGTTGGCACTATGGCCTCACTCTACCAAAGTTTCTGTGATGAACTGGTGTCTCGTCCAAGGTATCCCCTACATTGCGGCATCACTCATCCAGATCCTGCCTCTTGCTCATTCTTTCTATGGATTTTATGATTTACTCTCACAGTTGTATTAATCGATAACATTAAATTGCATATAGTTTGTGCCTTTTGGTGGACTTGCATCCTGTTAGGGTGTCCTCTGCCCTATGCCCTGAACCACCTTACTCCTGTTCTTCATGATTTACATTAGTTTCCTGTCACTTACACCATCAAATGCAAAATTTTACTAATCACCTACAAAGCTCTCCATGCACTTGACGCTCAATATCTGTGTTGCCTTCTCCTTCCTTAGACTCCAGCCTGCATACTAAGATCTTCAGACACTAACCATAACCTGAACCTAAATTCAGGTTATCCTCTATGGGTGGCAGTGTGTTCTGTGTGACGCCACCTACATTCTGGAATGCACTTCCTCACAGTCTGCGAGAGATAAAGTCTGTTAACATGTTCAAGTGCCAATTGAAAACTTTATTTCATGAATGCTCTAATGCGTCTACCACTACGTAATATTGTCGTTGTCTTGCTGTTGCTGTTTCTGTATTGTATTGTGTTAGAACATAAGAACATAAGAAATTTACAAACGAGAGGAAGCCATTTGGCCCATGAAGCTCATTTGGGGAGAACTTAACTAATAGCTCAGAGTTGTTAAAATCTTATCTAGCTCTGATTTAAAGGAATCAGCTTGCACTACACTAGCAGGAAGACTGTTCCATTGTGTTGTGTCTGTCTGTATTGTAAAGCATCCTTGAGTGTGAGAAAGGCAGCACTATACTGTAAATATTAAACATATCACTATAATTGTCATTATTGAAATACGCCTCAGTCCATTGTTTGTTTCTTATACTAAAATCACAGTTATTTGGGACAAATCCAGGAACACATGGCAAACAGATGCACTGGGTATGGGCTGTCTGGAAAAAAAAGCTTCTTTGGATATTAGGATAAAATTAAAAGATCCAGAAAAAAATTGCTGAGAACCCTACTTCACAGTACTAGTTTGCTAGTATGGTAGAGGGCATATTCCCTGACAAAACTCTGCGAATATAAAAAATTAAGAATGTAAATGATTACCATCTGCAGTTGCATGACTTGCATATAGATGTGCCAGTAGTTTCATTGAAGACTTGTAGTAGAGTTGCACAACAGATTCATTCAGAGGATCCTTGTTCTTGTCCAGCCAGCCGCCGATGTTGTAATCCACAGTGCCAGCATAGTGCACCAGGGAGAAGTGGGCCTCAGCTTTGCCTTTGGCAGGTTTGGGCTTCTGGAAGGCGTTACATTTGCCCAGATGCTGGTCATGCAGCTTGTTTTTGAAGCTTGTGTCTGTAGCCTTGGGGAACATGCACTCCTCTTCAAGGATGGAGAAGATGCCCATTGGCTGTTGGAGACACAACTGATTATTGATGCCTAATGATGAGATAAGGGAGGAATTTATTCACATAGAATAATGTTCATATCACATACCTTCTCAATAAGCTCAATGCAGGCAGCCAAGTCCATACCAAAGTCAATGAACTCCCACTCAATCCCCTCTTTCTTGTACTCCTCTTGTTCCAGCACAAACATGTGATGGTTGAAGAACTGTTGCAGTTTCTCATTGGTAAAGTTTATACACAGCTGCTCCAATGTGTTGAACTGATGGGAATATGTAATGAAATACCAGAAATGACAAGAATAATAACAATAGATAGAATGACATTATTATTATTATTTTATGGAATATATAACACTGACGACCTCCACTCACATCAAAGATTTCAAATCCAGAGATGTCCAGCACACCAATGAAGGACCGTCTTTGCTGCTTGGTATCCAACATCTCATTGATGCGAGTAACCATCCACAAGAACATTTTCTCATAGATGGATTTACACAATGCCATGGTAGCATTATTAACCTATTTTATTTTTGAAATATAAGAGAAAATGTCTGTATTATTAATTTAGTACTATTTAATATAAATTTAGCTCTGATATTGCCATTTTAGCAGTAGGAAGTGCAAATTATAACAAACACATTAAATATTCAGTGAATACATACAATGTTAACGCTGCATTCCTTACCTGAGGTACAGTCTGCCCCTTGGTCACAAACTCATTCCCGACCTTCACTCTGGGGTAGCACAGAGCCTTCAGCATGTCAGCTGAGTTCAGGCCCATGAGGTAGGCGATTTTATCGGCCACTGAAATACGAACAATATGTTTGGTTCATGGTCTTTAACCCTGGGTACATCATTTTGTGGTTAAGGGAATCTCATCAGTTACCCTCAGTGCCATCAGGTTCTGCCTGCTCCTCTCTCTGCTTCTGCTTGAACTTCATGTTCCCATGATGCATCACTGCTCCAGTCAGTTTGTAGATGCCTATTTTCTCCTCAGCATTAAAGCCCAAGATGTCAATGGCAGTCTGCATATAAACATACACATGTTATTGTATATTGGCTTGTATACTTGAAGGTATTCAGCAGTATATACCTAATTTTAGTTTACTTACATCTGTGGCCATGAATTCTTCAACATCATCAATGCTTTTAACCACAATCTCCCCTTGACTGATCATGGGGTAGTCGTATGGATTGGTGGTGATCAGAAGTGCCTCTGTAAAGATGAAGAAAACATTCACAGATGTAAACTGCAGGTACAAAACCCCAGTTTATCCCAGACACTGGATACATACCAAGCAGCTCTGGTTTGTGGCCTGTCATAAGTTGATAGAAGATGTGGTAACTTCTCTCATTTGACAGCTGGAAAGTTACTCTTGACTTTTCCAGCAAATCTGTCAGTAGAAGTTTGCAACATGTTACTCGTACATTTGTAATTTTGTGATGAATTTTAAAATAAATAGTTTGGTAGATGAAGACTTACAAGTTTCAATATCAGCAGAAGCCAGTTTTCCTGTTTGCCCAAAATGGATTCTTATGTATTTGCCCTATAATATAATGAAGGTATTAGAATATTAAAACAGCTAATTCTGTGAGTGAAATTTAAGGAAAAATTAGATTAAATAACTTACAAAACGAGAGGAGTTGTCATTCCTCACAGTCTTGGCATTACCATAAGCCTCCAGCAGAGGGTTCGCTGCAACAATTTGATCTTCCAGGGAACCCTACAGGAGACACTGGAGCATTGAGACTCTTGCTTCTGTATATATGTTCCTTATTCATAGTCCTTGTTTTTCTCTCTTACCTGCATCTTTCCAGGAACAGGCTTCTGCCCTGAAATGGCGATTGTGGCAAAATACTGGATGACACATTTGGTGTTCACAGTCTTTCCTGCTCCGGATTCTCCACTAAGGGTGAGTATGGGAAATAGACTCAGATATAAGGATATAAGGCATATTTTGCTTTTCACATTGCTATTTTTTGTTTGGTTTTTGTTTGGTTAGATAGCATATAGATACTTATGTAATCAAGACTGACACTCAGATGTAAGCCATGTACAGTTAAGGTCATTATTAATAGGCCCCTATGAGAAATGGTGATTTTCCTACATTTATGTGCGATTTTAACATCTGTTGTTAAAGTGTACAAAGCAGAACATTCATCAGTGTAAAAACCTCCAACTGGTACATATTTTAATTTGAAGAATATTGTTCTATAAATGACAACTTTATTTAAAATTGGGGGTTGTCAAGATGATTAGCCCAGTGTGCATTCGTCCAGAAGCGTTGTTAAGTTAAATGTTTTTGTGTCAGACTATACCTAAATCCCATATGACTTTATTGGCTCAATCAATTAGCTACACACTGTAGTAAATGGACTGAAATGAGCAGTGTATTCTTATCTTAGGGGGGATGGCTATATACAGTAGCCATTGTCAGCAGCCCTACCACCTGCAGTTCAGACTGAGTAATTTACCTGAAACTAAGTAGATTTGGGTCTGGCCAGTACTTGCATGGGGGATCAATTAGGAAAGCTGGGTTGCTGCTGGAAGAGGTGTTGGTGTGGCTGAAGGGTTAGCCCAACCTGTGGTCTGTGTGCATCCCAGTGCCCCAGTACAGTGATGGGGACACTGTGGCCAACAGGTTAACCCATCCTGTGGTCTGTGTGCATCCCAATGTAGTGATGGGGACACTCTAAAACGGTGCTGTCCTTCAGACGCAAAATCGAGGTCTTGAGTCTCTGAGATAATAAAAGATCCCTGGGCATCTTTTGAAAGAGTACGGGCGGTACTCCAATGTACTGCCTAAATTGCTTAATGTGGCTCTATCAAATCTGGCCTCCTAATCGTCCCCTATATCTAATTGGTAAATTCTCTCCTGCCCTTTCACCACCTTAGCTACTGTGTAGTGGGCATACTGGCGCAGAATGGCTGTTTTCGCATCATCCAGGTGGGGACTACACAGTGGTGGTGGTTGACGAGGCTCCCCATTGGTTCTGTAAAGCTCTTTGGGTGTTTGAAAAGCGCTATATAAATATAACATTCATTCACTCATTTCAAAGCGTTTCAATGTGTCCACCAATGTGGTCACCAGCACAAGATTTCAAATACTTTGAAAAGGAAAATAATCAGAGATGCCAAAAAGAACCCCCAGATCACTGCAAATGCCATTGTCACTGAACTGGCCTCTTTCTGGACTTGAAGTCTTAAAAACAACTGTAGTGAGTGCTCTAGATCGTGGGAAGCTTCGAGGTCATCGGCCACAGAAAACTTAATTGCTCACACAGCAGCATAGGAAAGTTAGACTGAAGTTTCCCCAGGACCATTTGAAACAATATGAATTTTGGAAGTTCAAATTTGCAGACAATATCACCGTGGTAGGGCCTATCTCTGGGGAGGATGAGTCCGCCTACAGAGAGACAGGGTAGTGCACAGATAACAACCTGCTCCTGAACACAATTAAGACCAAGGAGATCGTTGTGGATTTCAGGAGAAAGAAAACGGACATTAAACCACTTTACATCAGAGGGGACTGTGGAGAGAGTGTCAGACTTCCGCTTTCTGGGAGTTCACATCACGGAGGACCTGTCCTGGACTGTGAACACATCACATCACGGAGGACCTGTCCTGGACTGTGAACACATCACATCACGGAGGACTTGTCCTGGGGTGTGAACACATCACGGAGAACCTGTCCTGGGGTGTGAACACATCACGGAGGACCTGTCCTGGGGTGTGAACACATCACG